AATCCTGAGCAAGGCTAGGGGTCACTCCTGAGCTTAGATCCAGGCCCTCGGCACTGCTGGGTGTGGCCCCAAATACACCCACCTCCAATTATCCTTCCTCTAAAGGAGAGAGAGAGAGAAGAGAGAGAAAGAGAAGGAAAGTGCCTCCCATAGAGAGAAGCTGAGGGTAGGGGGTGGGGGTTGCAGGATGTTGGTGGGGAGACGGGGGACACTGGTGGTGGGAAATGTACACTGGTGGACAGATGGGTGCTGGATCATTGTATGACTGAACCCATTATGACCAGCTTTGTAACAGTCTAAGTAAAGTAAGTAAGTAAGTAAAGGCCCTCCCGTTGATCGTCGATTTGCTCGAGCGGGCCCAGTAACGTCTCCATTGGAGACTTTGTTGTTACTGTGTCTGGCATATCGAATACGCCACGGGTAGCTTGCCAGGATTTGCCCTACGGGTGAGATACTCTTGGTAGCTTGCCGGGCTCTCCGAGAGGGGCAGAGGAATTGAACTCGGGTCGGCCCTGTTGGCTGCGTGCAAGGCAAACGCCCTACCGCTGTGCTATCACTTATCTCATGGATATCCAATTAAAAAAATTTTTTTAAAAAAAGTAATGTGGCAATCAGCTTAATCAGTGGCTGAATAATTAGCAGTACTCCAGTATTAAAAATAAATATATATCCTTCCTCCGAAAACCTACCATCTTCAGGTGCACAAGCAGGAAAGCGTGCCCCAATTGTACTTTTTTTTTTGGGGGGGGTCATATCCAGCAATGCACAGGGGTTACTTCTGGCTCTGCACTAAGGAATTACTCCTGGCAGTGCTCAGGAGACCATATGGAATGCTGGGAATTGAACCCGGGTCGGCCGTGTGCAAAGCAAACACCCTATCGGCTGTGCTATCACTCCAGGCACCCCCAATTGTACACAAAAAGTACAAGTGTCCCCGCCACTCCAGTGCCCTCACCGAAGGCAGAACTGTCTACTTTGGACACTAGATGTTGAAAAATAGGACAAAGTGTGTCGAAAGACTCGGGCTAAAGACACGGTTTGAGGGGGCCGGGGACAGAGCTCAAAGGGCTGGAGCACAGGCCCGATGTGGGCAGGGTCCGGACTGGATCCCTGACACTGCATGCCCACTGCAAAGCCGGGCCCAACCCGAGTAGCCCTCCAGCACCCATGGGCCTGAGTGTGAACCCTATAGAGCGGACAGTCTAGCCTGACTGTTCCCAGGATTACTGAGCGTTGCTTGAGAAGGCCCCGCTCTCCCCTACTAAATTCTGGAAAAGACTAGGTTCAAGATTTGTAGCGCGGCATCAAGAGTTAGGAAAACGTCCTACGGTGCAGGTCTAAAAACAGGATCGGCAGAATCAGACACAAGATGAACCAGAGGTTGGAGGAGTGAACTCCTACGGCAGGGACCGGCTCAGAGAACCACCGACAGGGAGCAGAATGGCAGGGATGAGAAGCTCCTGCTTGGGGGCCCAGAAGGATAGACCAGTGGGTAGGGAATTGGCCTAGCATGTGGTCGACTTGCGTTCGAGCCCCGACATCCTACAGGGTCCCCCGAGCAGAGCCAGGAGTAATTCCTGAGTACAGAGCCAGGAGTCACTCCTGAGCCATCGCTGGGTATGATCACCCACCCGCACTCAAACAGCTCATGTGGCCTGAGGGGTAACTCATTCCACCCACAGGGCCTGGATGGACGGCCTGAAGCGGAAACAGAACTGGGCTGGCGAGAAGGAGCACCCCTGGGAGGGGAGGAAGCACAAGGCCAGGTCCAGAGACCGGGGCGGACATGACCGCAGCCCGGCCAGGAGGAAGTTCTCCAACTTAGCAAGGGGGACCGAGGGGCAAGGAGGCCTCTCGGTTTGGTGACAGGGGACCCCAACCCCAGGTCCCCTGACCCTTATGGAGGGAAGGTGCTGGACCAGCCTGACGCAGGAGTCTGGCTGGGAAAGAAGCTGGATCATGTAACCCAGAGTCAGGGCCTGAGGGCAGCAAAGGTGGCAGCCAAGTGGGCAGAGGTCCCCAGCCAAGTCAGCCAGGGAGTCCCCACCTGGGCTTGCGGGAATTCAAGCAGGTGGTGGGGGATGAAGGGAGAGGGGAGGGGTCCCCAGTAATGAGGACTAGCAGCAGGAGGGTCTGTGGCAGAGAGGCTGGTGTGTGTCCCCCTTCTCAGCAGAGAAGCCCCGTGGCGGGGCTGACATGCCCACCGCCTTCCCGACTGAGTCCCTGCATACCTGAGATCAGGAAGCGCTCCGGGATGCTCCCCCCAACCCCCTTATTTTTTTCAGATGAGGACACTGAAGCCACCATGGAGGAGGTGGCAGAGACTGTCCAGGCCGTACACCCAGGGCAGTGCAGGGCCGAGAGGATGAGCAGGGCTGATGCAAGTCAGGGATGGGACTCTGATTGGGGGGGGGGGGGGGGGGGGGGTGGAGGGATGACTCCACGGCCCGCACAGGACTCGCAGGGAGACACGGGCAGAGACACAGGCGTCCTCCCTGGAGAAACGCATGGGCAGGAGGGGTGAGGAGACAGGCTGGGAGGGGCAGGGAAGGGAACGCAGGAAAGATGCAGCCTGGTGGCTGCAGTCTCCTGAGCAGGGGGCTGCAGCTGACTGGGACAAGTTGCTTGGGGTGGGGACCACACAGGGCAGTGGGGGGCACGGAGGGTTCCCGCGGACAGTGCAGGGGCTGGGCTGGGCCGAGCCTGTGCTCCATGCCCTGCACTGGCGCCAAGAGACACAGCGCGACTCTCCAGCACGGCTTGGCAGCCCTGGAGAAGCAGCTGAGGAAACAGATGGGCCTGCGAGCCGAGGGGACAGTCACGGGGGCGGGGACGCAAAGGACAAGCGAGGACACAGGTGAGCGAGTGGGCTGCGGGTGGGAGGAGTGGGTGGGGAAGATGAAGTTGGGGGCGGGGAGGCGGAGGAGGCGCAGCCACTGGAAGGCAAGGCTGCCCAGGCAAGAGGGCAACGGGAGTCACCAGAGGCCTTGAAGGAAGGGTGGTGAGGTCAGAGGTCAGAGGTCAGCCTGCCAGGCAGTCCTCCGAACTCCAAGAGGATCGAAAGAGACAAGGCAGAAGGGGGGGGGGGGGGGAGTCCCTCTCCAGAGCCCCTGGTGGTCTGGCGTCCGCTGCCCAAAGCCTGCAGCTGGGGACCGCAGAAAGAATCAGGAGCACAGTAAGAGACCGCCGGAAGGTTCACGGGGGCAAGCAGGGATGGGCCATGTCCCCGCGGAGTGGGACCGCTTCTTCCTAGGAGGCTCGGCATTGCAGAATCCAGTCCCGTCAGCCCGTGGACTCCTGCTACCCTAACCACTGCTATCCGCTCGGTTCTGGGTACCGACTTCAAGTGCCTTCCCACAGTGGGCACAATGGGCCTTGGAAAGTATCTAAAAAGTGTGCTTTGGGTTAAAAAAAAAAAAAAGGCTTCACTGTATATGAGAAGTCCCCTCTCTCCAAGGGACCTCTCGGGCACGGCCCTGACAGGCCTATCGCCTTACTTTGCCTCATGCTTTCTGAACGTTTATAACCACCGGTTCATATGTCTCACGCAAAGTGCTTAAGGCGCAGAAACGGGGGCGTGTGTGTGTCACAATCAACGCTTATCTCCAGATTGTTGAGCGAGTTACCTTTGAAACCCGAAGACAGATTTCATGGGGAGTGAGTCTCTGGGGAAAAAAAAAAAAGGTTTTGGGATCAGACTCAGTATACTCAGAGCACTGGTGCTGTGCAGGGGTTCACCAGGCCACACAGCCACACCCAGGGCCTCACCTCTGGAAGGCCCAGATCCCCTGGTACTGGAGTCGCCCCCTGGCCCCCCATTCCTCCATTTCCAGAGTGGGTCCAAGCTGCATGGAATTGTTCTCATGCTTCCACTGCGAACAGTTCCATCTCCGTCAAAGCCTGCAGTAAAGCCTTCGCTGGCTTAGCCCAACCTCCTGGAGGCTGCAAGATGTCTCCTTAGCAATGCCAGGACCCCCAGCCGCCCATACCTTGCTCCCCACCCTCCCCCCGACACACGCTGTCTGGCTGGGATTCAGCCATGTTCACAGTGCCTCTTCCACACATTACACAGAAAAGCAGCACCATTAAAAGAACTTCTGTCGGGCCTGAGTGATAGTGATAGAGCAGTGGTCAGAGTACTTGCCTTAAAGAACACCGACCCAGGTTTGATCCCTGGCAGCCCGTATGATCCTCTGAACCCACCGGAAGTGATTCCTGAGTGCAAAACCCAGAATAAGCCTAGCACTGCTGGGTGTGGCCCAAAACCAAGGAAAAAATAATTCTGTTATTTCTCCATTCCTACTTGCTCTACGGGTCCCGGGACTGAGATCTCCAAGCCTACTCGGATCAGGGCTTGAGCATCCTCCACCCAGATCCTCCAAATTCCAGTAGGCGGGGGTCACACCCACCAACTGGCCCCCTGGCGCCGTGTAATCCCATCAACGGCCAAGACTCAGAGACTATAAAACCCAGCTCCCGGAAGCGCGTGGCCGCATTTGCGGCCCCTTGACATCTTATCATCTCATTCCCACTTTGGACAAACTGGCAGGCTACCGAATGTAACCTGCCCACACTGCAGAGTCTAGCAAACTCCCCGTGGCGTGCCCAATATGCCAAATACCAGTAACAATGATGGGTCTCATTCTCCTAACTCTGAAAGAGCCTTGAATATGGCACTTTTTAAAAAATCTCAGGGCTAGGACGAAGGAGACGTTACTGGGGCCTGCTCGAGGCAATCGACTTCCTCTACAAAGGTACCCATGCTGTATTCACCTGTTTGAAAGCGTTTCCTAAATACATCCCGGTACCCCCTAGAGCCTCACATTCTCCTGGTCTTCAGCCTCCTCAAAGGCAGGAAGCATGAATACATTTCCCCGGCACCATCCCGCCAGCCCTACATCAACTGTGTTTGACTCCCGTTTTCCCCCACCAATTTCAGCAACGCTGACGTAAAATCAGCACAAAAAAGCTGTCCAGAGATGAATGGAAGGAATACATACCGCCACCTGGGTGGAGTCAAGGAACTGGAGGCCGAAGTAATCTGTTTCCACCAGGTCCAAGTAGTACACGACCTGATCAAACAAATCCTGGCCTTTGGCATGTTTCTGGAAGAAAACGTGGAGAGAAGCAAGTTTAGGATTGAATACCCAGGGAAGAAATAAAAAGGTTCTACTGCATGTAAGCATGTGCTCACACATGCTTGTGCATGCACGCGTGTGTGCGTGTATGCACACACACACACACACACATACACACACACACACACACACACACCAGCCAGATCTGGGTTCAACTCCTGATACCATATGCTGCCTCGAGCATGCACAGAAGCACTCCTGGAGGGTCCCAGCACCCGGAGTGGTTCAGTGAATCTGTGCACCTTAGGGCCCTGGACCGAATAAGCTGGCTCAGTGGGCTGAGTCATTGGGTCTCCTGAGCACTGTCTAAGAGTCCCCCCCCGTCCCCCCGCCCTGCCCCCCTTCAATACAAAAGGCAGAACTAAATTGGACTGTCAAGGTTTGCGACAGGGTGATAACACTTGGGGGAAATTAATTACAACCAAGGCGGGCTGAAGGGGGTGTTGGCAGGGAGGGGTGGTGGGTGGGAGGGAGCCCTGGAGGGTGTCCAGAGGCTGGCAGGACTCCCTCTCCTCACTGGGCAGCGGGACGAGGCCGTAGGGCTTTCTAGTATTTTCTCCAGCGCCACTTCCTGCGCTGTCTGTGTATGTCTGTGTCTGTGCCCCGCTAAGCAGCAAGAGCCAAACTACAGCTCATAACCCAGCCCGCCCCCCTGCCCCCGGCTGCCCCTCCTGATGGAAGGCTCCCTGGAAGGAGCAACTCCCCAGAAGCAGAGGGTTCAGGGTGTGCTGGTGTCCTCGGGAACATGAGCCACCAGAGAGAAAGGCTGCGGCTGGGGCGCACCGCGCCGATCAACATCCCAGAGCACTCTATCGGAGGAGAAAGCGGAAACCAGGAACATCCCTGTGACAGCATGTGCCCGCCAGACTTCCAAAGACGTCAGGGTTCCACCACCTGAGGACATGTAGGAGTCACCTAGGGGCCCCTGGGCAGGGCAGGAAACCAAGAAATGAGCAACAACGAAGACTGTAGGATGGACCCCCTGAATGGCTTTCTTCCCCGATCGTCTTTCATTGTCTTCTGGCAGTTGGTAGAACCTGAAATAACTTTGGTTTTTATTTATTTATTTATTGCTTTTTGGGGTCACACCCGGCATTGCACAGGGGTTACTCCTGGCTCTGCACTCAGGAATTACTGCTGGCGGTGCTCAGGGGACCATATGGGATGCTGGGAATCGGACCTGGATCCACATTGTGCAAGGCAAACGCCCTCCCCGCTGTGCTATCTCTCCACCCCCGATAACGTTGTTTTTCAACCCACTGCTCTGGGGCCCAGGAGATAAGGCCTGGCATGCACCTGATCCAAGTCTCATTCACCACACCACATGGTCCCCCAAGCACTGCTGGGTGCAGCCTGGAGGCCCCCTGAGTGCCGCCAGTTTAGATCCTGGAGGTCCCCACATTGTCCGGGTCATCCCAGCTTCCCAGCGCCCGAGCAGCACTGCGTCCTCAGGCCCTTGCACGGAACCAACAAGCCCAGCTGGCTGAGAATCATTGGCAGGGACCCCAAGAGGCTTGAGACGGTCCCAATAAAGTACCCAAAACTGGCCCAGCTCTGGGTGCATTTGCATGAAGACGGAGGGGTCGGCCCTGACTGCCCCCACGGACAGAGGCAGCCCCCGGGCACCTGCAGGCAGCCTGTGGTTCTACAGCCCATATCCACCCTCATGCATCACAGACTGGGGGCGCCCTGTCATGTCTCAGGCTTCCAGAACAGGGCGTGGGCCACCCCCACCCCACCAAAGACAAAACAACCCACCATGCTGGCATGCGTCTCCTAGCCTTCCATCCTATGGCCGTTCAGAGCCCTACACTGCCTTCGGGGCCCGATTATCTGGGCATCTGGGCTTCGTTAGGCAGGATCGGATGACAGGAAGGGACAAACTGGGGTCTGGTCTAGGACGTGCCTCTACTGTGACCTTCATTCCTAGCTCCACCGAGTCCAGGCCTCCTGCACGTCCCCCACAGCTGCCAACCAAATGCGGACATGGCGCCCTGAAAGGCATGGGCTGATCTACAGCCACACGGCCCCGAAGGCGCCAACCTCATGTGAAGCGCACGGGTTGCCCAGACCTCGCCAGTCCAGCTTCTTCCCTCTGTGGCTCTCCTTCTGCGGGCTGGGGGCTGAGGAGACACGCAGGGAGGCAATTCCAGCCCCCAAACATCTATGCATGAAGAGCGAGGTTAGCTGGGGTTTCTCCATCATTTCTGATCTTTTCTGATGCCGTTCTAAAAGGGCTCTCAATTTAGAAAAAATTGAGGCAAAAGATGGGAAAGAAGCTGCGGGGGGGAGGGTAAGAGAAAGGCAGAGTGAAGGTCCTTCTGCTGTGCCAAGACTGGGTCCACTCCTGGCAGCGTTGAAGCTTTGGCAGTGAGGGAGTGGTAGGGAGAAAACGGTCCTTGGTCTCCTGGGCAGAGAGCATCCCCATGGCTCCTTCCAATGGCTACAGATGAGTTAAGGAGGGACAGGATGGAGGGACCTCCGACCTCAGGCGCCAGTGAGCGTGACAAAGAGGACAGGTCAGAGACTTGACCAGCCACCGCTCCTTCTTCATGCCTTGCAGTGTCTACTCTGAGAACCAAGAAGGCTCTGGAGAACTCAGTATACCTGTGTTGCCAGCTAGGACCACACACACAGCCATGACAGCACCCACACACACACCCACACCCACACCCACACTCACACTCACACTCACACACACATGCCCAGGACTACCCCCCCCCCACACACACAGCCTAAACAGCACACACTTACACACACACACACACACAGGACTACCCTCCCCCAACAGCCAGGACAGCACACGCACTCACACACACACACACACACACACACACACAATCACAGGTCCAGGACTACTCTTACCCCCACACTCACACACATGCCCAGGACTACACCCCCCGGCCCACACACACAGAGCCAGGACAGCACACACATGCCCAGGACTAGCCCCCCATACACACACACACACACACACACACACACACACAGAGCCAGGACCACACCATATTCCCCTATACAGACACTGTTAGGGGCCGGTATCCAAAAGACCCTAATAATTTCAGCCAGGCAGACACACAGACACACACACACACACCCTTGTTCCGAGCTGCCACCCTCCTGCCTGCCTCCCGCGCTCACGCTGTCTCTGTGCTGAGTCTGGCCACAGTCACGGGCACATGTGGGGTCTGGGATCAGACAGGCCTCTGAGACAGACCCAGCAAAAGCGCCAACAGACAGAGCTTTCACGCGCGGCAGCCTGAAACACGGGCACGGGCTCATTAAAATCTTCTCAAAGGGAGAATTGCAGAACAAGAGCCCGGGGAGCTGGGTGGCCCTCCCAAGGCCGTTTTTACCTAAACACAATTTTGAGGCGATTAAGTGAAGTGCTGTCTAGAGGTTACGATAGATGTGTTAATGTGACAACACCGCAAGCCACTGCTCACTGCCTCCTCTGCAGAAATGAGATCTTCCTCTCTGCCACAAATCCCAGCCCACAGGCTCCTGCAGAGACAGCGCAGCGGGATGAATGGAAGCAGCCCTCACCCAGCAAGCCCTTGGGCAGCAAAACATCCCCCCAGAAGCTAAACCCCCAGGACTCAGTAGTACCATATTTCTCCCTGCCTTTTGGGGGGCCGGGAGGAGAGAGGGTCTCCCACACAGTGCTGGGGAGGGGGAGGGGGCAGGTGCCACTCCCAGCCTGAATATTTGCGCCTGAGGATGCTGCCCAGGGCCCTGTGATGCTGAGAATCACAAGGCCCACCCCAGAGGGTGACCAGAGACACACCCAGGGAAGTTTAGGAGGCCACTTGGTGTGGGGATTCACACAAGAATGACCTGCCCCCTGACCCTTGTGACCCCCGGCCCCTTGCTTGTCCTTCTTTTATTTATTTGTAATTTTATTTTTTTGCTATTTGGGTCACACCCAGCGATGCTCAGGGGTCACTCCTGGCTCGTGCCCTCAGGATTTCTCCTGGCGGGGCTCGGGGAGACCATCTGGGATGCTGGGGATTGAACCCAGGCTGGCCACGTGCAAGGCAAACGCCCGACCCTCTGTGCTATCGCTCTAGCCCCTTGCTTGTCCTTCTGCAGCACACACAGCGTGTGAAACCTCCCTCAAGGCCAGGCCACCATCCTGGAAGTCCACGACGCCACCCACTGATCGGCAAGCAATGGTCTCCAACACAGCAGCAGGGCAGTGAGCACCACCCTCGAGGTGGGAGGGAGCACCTCCCTCTCTGCCCTCTCATTCCTCTTCCCGGGCCCTGCGTCTGCGAGTCTGGCTGTGGCGGTTCCCGTGGCTCTGTCAGGAGCCCAGAATAACCAAGCTCATTAAAAACCTGTGCCAAGTCAAAGCCCGGTGGTGGCGGCGTCAGCGGGAGACCGAGCCAGGCAGATAGCCAGTGGGGAAAGGGGTGGCTGGGGCGCTGCCCGCACAGGCCATTCAGACACCTCCTGCATCCCAGTCACAGATGGTCCCACCGCCGGCATGAGCAGCCCTACGGGGCCTCTCATGGCCACCTGTGGCCTGACCCAAGCACCGTGCAACAGGGTGACCGCAGCCTCAGGAGAACAGAGCTGAGACGCCCGCCCGGCCTCATTAGAGTCATCAGCCAGATGGGCAGATGACTCCCGGAGCCTGAAAGGAGGAGATGAGCCACAGGAGAGGGGACGGATGCCAAGGATTGAAACGGAGATGCTGGGCACCGGGCAGGCAGCCACCGGCCACAGGAGGCCTCTCCTTGCAGCTCGCAGGGCTCCCCTCTGCCCGAACAACCCCCACCCTTGCACCCACCTTCACCCTAGCCTGAGCAGGTGTGCTCCTGCAGAGCGGTTGCCCTGAAAGCCCATCATCCCTGTCTGCAGAGAGGCCGCCCGCAGCGCGGATTCTGGACCATCAATCCCACGCCACCCAGCCATGGGACATCTCTGCCAGGCCGAGCCATACCCTGGGCTCCAGTCACCGC